CAGTCTTTTATATTAGACAGGTTGTTAGTCTTTCATTTTAGGATTGGGTGGGGTCCTACGGGGCTAGCCTGGAATCCACACCCCAAAGCTGAGGAAGAATCATTGTATCATGGCTGGAGCGGTCTGCCTGTTCATGTTCTTCTTTTTCAATCTAGGTACTAGAGACTGCCACCCACCCAAGCCCACCACAGGCCACAGTGCCTTTCTCTGTGTCTCTGAGTCCCCATATCTCTGACAGCTCCTGTCTGCTGGAAAGGAATCATTCTGGACCCTTGGCTGAAACAGAGGGGACAGTTCTTCCTTGCTGACCCACAATGCAGTGTCCTCACCGTCTTACACACCCTTTACATGCTTCTCAGCTCCTTGGCTTTCTCTGCAGAATTCCTGTTAGGCATGGTTCTTTCTTCCTCAGGCCCACCCCAGGCCCACATGTGGCCATTTCCCTGACAATTACACTGTGTGCGTGGGGGGCGGGGGGAGGACTCCTTTCCCATAGAGACCAGACTTGACATCATCACGGCACTCATCCACTCACACACATCACTTACACACATGCGCACACCACGTAGGACAGCTGTAGAGACAGACACACATCACTTCTGTCCCAGCCAACCCACAGCGCTTACACACTCACTGTTGCACACCTCCCTGGGTGACCACTGCAGAAACCACTCAGAATCCATCGTCCTCTTCCAAAAAGCTTTACTCATGGTGGTACCATCCCGATGTGACCCACTGCCTGAACCTTCACAGACAAATAAATATTCGTGTGAGAAAACACGCAAAACTACCCCTTAAAAACACGCCCAGGACATCTGCACACCCCGCCCAGTCCTCACTGTTGAAGGTTCACACCCAACTTTCCCACACAGTCCCACAAACACAAGGTAATTAAGTCACCACACATAGCCCTGAGCTAAAGGACAACCTCTGCCCCTGGGGTCTCTCCCAGAGGAAACTGTATGGGGTCCAAAGAGGACTCCCTTTGGGAACTCCTCCCGCTTCTCTTCTTCCTCTCCCAGCCTCAGTTGCAGCTGCTCCCCACTTTAATTGGAGGTACTTCTTTATTTTGCAGGCCAGAGAGAGGTTGTACTGAGGGGGCACAATTGCCAGGTGGCCTCCAGAGGACTAGAGAGAGAAGGGTCTGAAGCTCACCTAGACAACACACAAGGCAAGCGTCAAGCTCAGTAGGAGGAAGTATTTTGTGACAAACAGAGCTGCAAGCAGTACTGGAGTCCAGTCTGCCTCTTCCCAGCATGCAGTGTCTGGGTTTGCTCAGGATGGATGACAGAGATGGCATCACAGACTTGTGAGGATTGATGGAATGCTCACTGCCGTGATCAAGGGTACCTGAGCCATCTCAGGTGATCCCTAAGTGATGCTCCCCCTCCCTCCCTCCACTCTCCTAACAGGGCTACTCGGTAAGGTGTGAGCCACTGCTCCAGAAACACGGAAGAAGCTGTGTACTGGGAGGAGAAGGGGATTGGGGGAGGGGGCAGAACTCACCAAATCCAGATCTTCTGGTCTCGTCTTTCTAGCTAGAGACTGAGGTGCAAGCAAAGCTTCTTCCCAGCTCCCCTGGGACAAGCACCAGCAAGCACACTGTACTTTCAGAACTCCAGCCTTCAGGACTGGATTGGGATAAAAATTGACTCAGAAAACATAAAGGTTGGGAGGGCAAGGGAAAGCCAAGGCACTCCTTGACTGTGGGATTTTGCTAGCCACACAATCTCAGTGGGTTGCTGTGACCTCTGCCAACCTTTCCTCAGGCCATCAAGGGTGAAGTGTCTTCTCAGCTACCCTGGACAGTTGGTGCTACATCAGAAGAGTTTAAGAGGCGGGCCAGCAGATGTCAGGAGTTGGGAGAGGCAGGCTATAAGACTAGAAAGATACCTATTGGTGGAAGGGGGAGGGGGAAGTATGGAGAAGGTTGAAATGTTTTCCAGCAAAGGCCTCAGAGTGACTAAAGATGTAGCTCTGAAGAAGAAGAAGAAGAAGAAGAAGAAGAAGAAGAAGAAGAAGAAGAAGAAGAAGAAGAAGAAGAAGAAAGACAGCTCTAATGTGGCAGACCTGTGGTTAGACTAACAGGAGCAGGACCACTGGCCTCTGGCCGCCACAAGGATGCTACAGGGCCCTCTGCCATAGGTTTCAGCCACAGATAGAAGTAGCTTTAGGTGTTGAGTTCCCAGTGTAATCGTCTTCTGCCTGTGGAACTTTGAACAGATTTCTCTTTTTTCTAAAATGGCATACGGGAGGCAGGAGAGTCGGCTGAGAGGGCTTTTGCAGAGGGACCAGGATTCGGTTCCCAGAGCCCACATGGTAGCTCAAGACCAGCCATGACTCCAGTTCCAGGGAATTAGATGCCCTCTTCTGGCCCCTGCAAGTACCAGACATGCACATGGTACACATACAGGCAAAACACTCATGCACATAAAATAAATACATCTAAACATTTTAAAATAATATGTAATTCACATTTTATACTTTCAAACTTTAAACATGCACAATTCAGTGACTTTTGGAATATTCATGAAGTTTTGCAGCTACCACCACTAATTGCAGAGAATTTTTTAAAATTATTTTATTTGTTTTATATATGAGATGAGTATGCTGTAGCTGTCTTCAGAAGAGGGCCTCGGATCCCATTACAGATGGTTGTGAGCCACCATGTGGTTGCTGGGAATTGAACTCAGAACCTCTGGAAGACCAGTCAGTGCTCTTAACCGCTGAGCCATCTCTCCAGCGTCTAATTGCAAAGAATTTGAATCATTCAAAAAAAAAAATCATTCCAAAGAATCTCTGTACCTGGGAGCAGTCACTTCCCCTCTTCCTCTAGTCCTGGCACCAACAAGGCTACTTTCTGTCCTATGGAGTTCTCTGTCTTGGCCAGCTTACATAAATGATCTATCTAATGTGGGACTCTTTGCGCCTGGCTTATCTCACTTAGCATACTATTTCCCAGGTTCATCTTTGTTGTGGCGTGAGCGAGCACATACTTCCCTCTTATGTTTCATTCCGTGGATATGCTATATTTTATTTGTCCGTCAGCTGATGGACAAATGGATGCTCTGTGCTTTCATTCACTCAGCTTGATTTGGTAAAAACATCGGGCCATATCAATCAGCTTCCTAGGGTCGTTATGGTTCTCAAATGCGTGTGGGATGTGGTGTGTGATACATAGCAACCACTCATGCTGCTTCTGTTCAAGATAAAAGGCAGAAAATGCTCATCAGGTTCAGACAACTTCCCAAGTAAGCCTGTGGGTCTGGTATAGAGGTAGCTGAGTGAGGAAGAAGAAGAGCAGGGCAGCAGGCTGAGCTCTACTCTCAAGGTCTTGTTTAGTGTCCGAGAACAACCACCTGCTTCATGCTTTCTTATCTTCGTCTTGAATGAGCATTTGCCCTCCTGGTTGAAGATGGGGAGAGAATTTATCTGAGAGAGATGCCACTGAGTTTCTATAGTTATCCATAAAACTAACTTCTGGCTTATCCTTCTTTGTTTATTGTCTGTATAGAACATAGGTCTTCTGAGGTCAAGACACTTCACTGTCTGCCCAGTACCTAGAAAGTACCAGGTACATTTTAAGTACACAAATATTTGTTGTGCAAGTCTATATTAATTTATTAGTCACTCAAGACAAGCATGTTTGATTTGTTGGGGCTGTTTTGGGAGGGGGACACATATATGCCATATTATGCTATATGTGCCATATATATATATATATATGTAAAATTTCCTGTCTCTGAGGAAGTCTTGTCAAGTGCCAGTGTCAGACAGACATGGCCAAAACAAATAGATTCCACTGAGACTTGGTGACTGTGGCTTTGACATGCCAGTGCTTTGCCTGTTAGAGACCTCCAAGTTGAGCATGGAATGGACCTGAAATAGATCAGAATGCATAACCTATGCTTTCTTTTTTCCAAAACTTGGATCCTAGGAGGGAACAGACCTTTCCCGACTGGAGGGGGAAAGAGAGGAAGCAGAAGGAGGGAGTTTCCTTCTTTTCTCTTGGGCTCTCAGCCAGGCAGCCACAGGCATAACTTTGAAAAGGCCTAAATTTGTCCTGGACACACTTCCCTGAATCTCGTCCCAGCAGCCCCAGCCTCCACAGCGTTAAGACCCAAGGCCTCCCTCCAAAGATTCTAAAAACAACGAAATAGAAATAACTCCTTTTCTCTCACAAACCCGGAGTCATTCACTTCGGATTCATAGGAATTGCTTTTGGGAGCATCCGTTTACTCAAAATGAAAGGGGCACCTCGAGGAACCGGCACCCTTGCACAAGCCCCAAACTAATCCGTTGGCTTGTGCCTGCTTTTCAGAATTGTCTTTCCTTCCCTTAAATTCTCTAAAGAGACTGAGTTGGAGTGGTTGCTAATTTTTATAACAATATATAGTCAGTTCTTCATAGGACCTGTTTTAAAGAACAAGCCTGAACTCACCGTCCTGCCTCGGGGCCTGGGCTCCATACCTGGGGAGTAGACAGTCTTCTACTTTCTAACAAGCTGGACTTGAAGTTGCAGCAAATCTCCTGGTTGAGTGACAGGTGTTCCCCAGCTCAGCCCTTGGGGAGATTCTCCAGTTGGGCAGGACACCTGTCCCCAGGGAACTAGTGGGCTGGACTCCTTCGGCCCTGTTCAAAGTGAGGGGGTGGTTTCTACCAGGTCTGGGAAAGGGCTCTGATTTCCCTCTCCTTTGGTCCGTCTCTCTGTCCGTCTCTGGGAATGGCTGCTTCCTGATCTTTTTCTCATTTTAAACCTCTCTCTTTCTCTCTCTGAAGCTCTCCTCCTTTCTCTTCGCTGAAACTACTCAGATCCCTGATCTCCGTCTCTCCGTCTCTGGCTCCGGCATCTGTCTGGGCTCCTGGCCTCCTTCTCCCCCTCCCAACCCCTCCCCCGCGCTGTCATTCACCCCGCTCCTCTCCACGCACAGCCAATGGAGAGACCCGGCCGAAACAGCTAGGCTCGCTCGCTCAGGGCTTTTTCGCCCGGTGATTGATGTCCCAGAGTCAACAGCGAGCGAGGAGCCGGAGAAGGGAAGGAGAAGCCGGAGAGGGGAAGAATACAGCTCCCCCTCTCTCCTTCCCCTCCCCCCTACTTTGGCCCTTCTGCGCACTTCGCCTTCAAGTCTCAGCGCAGCCTGGAGCGGCGATTGCCTCCGCGCCCCTACTCGCTGCCTGCGTAGTCCAGCGCAGCGAGAGCCCGCGCCCGGGCCCCCGCGTGGGGCCGGGGCCAGCATGGAGCATCTGGGTCCGCACCATCTCCACCCGGGCCACGCGGAGCCCATCAGCTTCGGCATCGACCAGATCCTCAACAGCCCCGACCAGGGCGGCTGCATGGGGCCCGCTTCGCGCCTCCAGGACGGAGAATACGGCCTTGGCTGTTTGGTCGGAGGCGCCTACACTTACGGCGGCGGGGGCTCCGCTGCTGGGGCGGGGGCCGGGGGCACAGGCGCTTACGGCACCGGTGGCCCGGGTGGTCCCGGTGGCCCGGCGGGCGGTGGCGGCGGTGCCTGCAGCATGGGCCCACTGGCCGGCTCCTACAACGTGAACATGGCCTTGGCCGGCGGCCCCGGTCCGGGAGGCGGCGGCGGTGGCGGGGGTGCCGGTGGCGCCGGGGCGCTGAGCGCTGCAGGGGTGATCCGGGTGCCCGCGCACAGGCCGCTAGCTGGAGCTGTGGCCCATCCCCAGCCCCTGGCCACCGGCTTGCCTACTGTGCCCTCTGTGCCTGCGGTGCCCGGTGTCAACAACCTCACCGGCCTCACCTTCCCTTGGATGGAGAGTAACCGCAGATACACAAAGGACAGGTTCACAGGTGAGTCCGGCCCGCGCGCGTCCCGCCTGGCCGTGGCTCGGGCTCTACCCACTGTCCTGCTTGATGGCTCCTTGAAGCTCTTCCAGAGCGCCAGGTCGCCTAGCGGCTCTCCGTGCGTTTCCTAAGTTCAGCTGCCTCCAGGATCAGAGTCGCTCAGCCCCAAGAGTTCTTGCAGCCTGGGTTCTTCCGTCTCTCCTCTAGGACCCCATTCGTGGAAGCAAAGCTTGGTCCTCTCGGGATCCCGGGGCCCAGTCAGGTAGAGGGCTGTAAATTCAGGACCAGCTTCTGTCTACAGTCTAGGCTTCGCACGCTGTGTGAGCAAAGATGTTTTCCTGTCCTGGCTGCGGTTTCCTGACCTGGTCAAGAGCCCCAGAATTAGACACAAGAAAAGGTTCTCCTATTGTCCCCTAATACACACACACACACACACACACACACACACACACACACACACTTAGGTGCTCTGAGTTGTGCGGGTCGGTCGCTACAGATCCGCAAAGGCCCCGAGCCCGGGTGAAGGAGCAGAGCCAGCTTTCTTCCTGGACCGCCGGGGTTCTTTAGAGTCAGTGGCAGCACAAGGCTGGGCCATCTTCGGTTTCATCCTGGGTATCCCTCCCAGGGGTCGGCTCCCTTATTTCGGGGATGAATAATGCACCCTCCTGCCCAGAGAGTTGGCTGGAGGACAACCTCCCCCCCCCCCCACTGTGCCCTCGGTGGCGGCCAGCTGCCGCGCGCTCTCTGCACCTCCCTCCGAGCCTTAGCTCCCTCTGACCTGGCTTCCGTTCTCTCTGCCCTAGCTCCGGCGTACCCCCTTCCCCTGCGCTCACTTTCCGCTGCCTGCGTTTAGTTGTCCTTGGATCCTTAGACCGTGAGCTGACCCAGGAAGGTTCAGGCCCCAAATCCGGACACACAGCTGTTAGGACTTGGGCCCAGTTGGCTGTTTGGGCCTTAGAGAGGGAAGGTAGTAGGTTTAGGCCGCTGCTTGTGGATAGGACTCCCCAAAGCAAGCTTCAGGTCTTAACTGTGAAGTGCGTGCGTGCGTGTGTGTGTGTGTGTGTGTGTGTGTGTGTTATGAAAAGAACAGTCTACAGCAGCTAAGCCTATCCAGGCCACCCAAAGTTACCCTAGGCCTCTCTGCTTCTGTTACAGACAGCACTGGCAGAGAGACTGTCCCTGGGGGCCCTAACCAAACTTCAAGGCCACTGCAGAAATGGGAAGAAGTCTCTGTGCTCACTGTGGATCGTCCAGGAAGGGCGCTTGTCAAGGGGTGGGGGGGTTCAGTAATAGAACCTAAGTCCTCTCATGAGGGAGGGAGGAGATCCAGACCTATTTCAATCTTCTACTTAAGCCCAAGCCAGTGTCCATGACTGGCTTTAACCCACACTATGAGCCCACTGGTGTGTGTGTGTGTGTGTGTGTGTGTGTGTGTGTGTGTGTCCGTCCTGTACAAAAGATATCCAGCACAGGCCTACTCTGGGGAGTCACAGTGAACTGTAGTGTCAGGCCTGAAGGAGGCTCTGAGAGTGGATGGCTGCAGTCCTGTGTTGCCCCATGTCCTGTTGCTTGTCTAGGTGTGCAGTCTCTTCTGTTGGAGTACAGATTTGGAAGTTTGTAGTTATATCTGCTGTATGACTGTGCGGCTGTGACTAAGACTAACAGGCCCTAAGGCCTGGAACTGTGATCACCCTGGGCCTTGTACTTTATGGAGTGTCCCTTTTAAGTTTAGTGGCTGAGGCTGAGGAGACTGGATGCTTAGCTGTCCTTAGGTGGGGGAGAGGGGACCCAAAGGGGAAGTGGATGGGATCTCCGAAGCCCCGAGCTAGGGAGATTTCCGAAGTGGCAGCTTGGGGAGGCGTCAGTCTGGCGTGCAGGAGGGAACACTTTGCGGTCCCGGGCTGGAGGTGGAGGGTTTGCCGGGGTGGATCACTGCCTTGCTTTTAGGGGGTCTAGCCACTGCGCTTGGCCTCGCGGGGTGTCGGGCCTGGGACGCCTCCTGACGCTCTGCCGCTTGCCTCTGCCGTCTGTCTGTCTCCCGCTCCAGTGGCCCTCTCACCCTTCACTGTAACACGCCGTATAGGTCACCCCTATCAGAACCGGACGCCCCCTAAGAAGAAGAAGCCGCGCACATCCTTCACACGCCTGCAGATCTGTGAGCTGGAAAAGCGCTTCCACCGCCAGAAGTACTTGGCTTCGGCGGAGCGCGCTGCTCTGGCCAAGGCGCTCAAAATGACCGATGCGCAAGTAAAAACCTGGTTCCAGAACCGGAGGACGAAATGGAGGTGAGCTCGCGGGGCGGACCGGCGGTGGCGGAGCGGGCTTTCTCTGCCTCTCTCGGGTTGCACGCACTTCCTCTGCTTGCTGGTTTAGACAAGTGAACTCCAACAGTCACTCGGGACTACAAACAATGAACGGCAATAGCCTGGTGGGGCTGGAGAATCCTTCCTGTGTTTTAAGCGATGCCTCAGGGTTTTCAAGACAGCACAGTCTACCCCGTGTAGACGCTGCTCGTCTCTGCCGCTGGGGCAAACCGGCCTATAGACCAGTCTATGCGATCCGGACTTCGATACTCAGGGAGCCCTTTAGGGGCTTCTTGATTGCCCAGCCGGCCTTTACCGTGGGGAACCTCCCCTGACCCTGAGACTTGCAGACGGAAGGAGCCGCGCCAGGTCTCTGCGCTCCAGCCGGACTCGCTGCAGAGCGGCTGGGGCCCCGGGACCGCAGGCTGCCGCTACTTACGGCTTCCTCCCCAGGCACTTGAGCTCTGCGCAGTCGTCCCCCATTCTGGAAGGGGAAAAAAATCAATCTGCGCCGGCTGTGGCGGGGATTCTCGGGTCCCACTGAAAGGGGGGGATCAATTAGGAGCAGATGGGTGTGCGGGAGGAAGAAAGAGACATTTTCCTTCTGTCAACTGCCGACGACAGCGCTTACCATGCTCTCGTTATTTTATTTTTTCCGAATGCATACATCTCGACCTTCCTCACCTTCTGCTCATCTTTCCCCCCAGTTCTTACGAACATTAGGCATCACACACTCTAAGCAGCTTTATTCTCTGCTCATACCCACACCTTCGTGCACCCCTGAGCCTTTCTGGTTCCCCCTGTGCTTCTGAGCTCAGACCCTGGGGAGGTGTGTGGCAGCAGTCTGAGCAAAATCGGCGGCGCCGCTCCGGGCGGGCCTAGAGCGGGAGGAAGGAATTGGAGTTTCCTCTTTTTCTGAATGAAGGCGAGGAATCTGCCCGAGATTCCGCCTTCGAGGCCACAAAGGAAGCCCGGGCCCTGCAAGTCCTCTGTCCCCCACCAACATTCCTGTGGCTGGGGAAGGGGTGGGGAACGTGGTTTCAGCCCTTTGGAAAGCTAGTCAGAGGAGCTGGGCTAGCTGCGGAGGGTGGCCGGTACCCGCCAAGCTTACCGTGGTGGAAGCGGGGTGGTGCGCAGAAGGCCAGCCACAGGCGAGGAGAGAAACTTAACACAAAGGAAAGGGACAAAGATGGCCCATTTTACAAGGAAATAAATAATAAAAAATATTAAAGGTGGGACGAGGGTACGGGAGAAATGCAAGCAGCCAGAAATCTGTGAAAAGGAAGATATCAGATTACTAAAAAATTCACCTCAAACAAATTCCCCTAATTCAGAGGAAACGAAGGGGTAAAGAAAAAAAAAAAAGAAGCATGGGGTAAGACAGAGCATGGAGGGAAACATTTGGGCAGGAAATTCAGTAAGACGGGAAAAATGAGAGACAGAAAAGTCAGAAAGGCTCTGTGCGAGCAGCCGGCGTCCGCCTTGCCTCGGGAAGAGCCGCAAGCTTCAAGCGGTTTCATCGATCGCCTACAAATTGCTTCTGGAGGCCCCGGGGACTCCCATTAGGTCTGTCCACCTTAGAGACAGACGTTTGATCTCAGTTGACAGGGTGGAGGGGCCGCATTAAATGGAAGAAGTGATTCACTGCCTCTCTAGACCGCCTGGGAGGAAGCTGGGGGGTTCGGAGAGAGCCTAGGGGCACAGGATTTGGTCCAGGAGGTCTGAGGCCTGGACCAGGCTGGAGGTGAGAAGGGACAGGCAGATCTTCGGGATCTTTCAGGCTTGGGATAGCATTTGGTCTTGGATAGACCAGTTTATCCGTGGTGTGCCCTTGAGAGTGTAGGCTTTTTGCGTTAATAGGGAGGCCCAGGAGTTTTGGTCCGTTGGACTTTTTCATGGCTCCTCTGGGATACTTCTGTTCCATCCATTTTTGGGGGTTCCAAGGTATTTTTGTCAGAGTCAAGACCCTCAAGAGTGGAGAGTGCGTTAATGGGGCCATACAGGAGCTGAGGGGTGCTTAAGGGACTATCTCTTGGGAGTGTGCTCCGGGGCCTGCGCAGGCGCGGGAAGAGGGTTAATGTCTTGGCTAGGAGTAATAGCTTGTTCCCAATGCAGGCGACAGACAGCAGAGGAGCGTGAGGCCGAGAGGCAGCAGGCGAACCGCATCCTCTTGCAGCTGCAGCAAGAGGCCTTCCAGAAGAGCCTGGCCCAGCCGCTGCCCGCAGACCCACTGTGCGTGCACAACTCCTCGCTCTTTGCCCTGCAGAACCTGCAGCCATGGTCTGACGACTCCACCAAAATCACCAGCGTCACGTCCGTGGCTTCGGCTTGCGAGTGAGGACCCAAGCCCAGTTGAGGGCTATCCGGAGAACCAGAACTCTCGATACCCTTTCTGACTGCACACAGGAGGGGGCAGGGCTTCTCGGCAAGGCTCCAAAGCACCGCCTCCACACCCCTGCGGACACTGTCCTGTCTTCGGTGGAAGAGGGCTGGGGATAGAGGCGGAGACATCTTCCCAGAAGCCTGTGTGATCCTGCCCAACTCTGGAATTGTTCAGAATCCTCTGTTTTCCTCTATTTCATAAAATTTACTCTGATTTTAACAAGGGACAGAGAGACCCAAGGGAAGTGGGGACCGGAAGGCTTCTGGGATCCCCAGGAAGCCATCTGTACTCAAGCTGGAAACCTCTCTATTCCTCTCCTTGTACACCCGGAGGCCCACACAAAGGTGATACCACTGTCACTCTTGGTGTCACCCCAGAGCCACACACAGGGGCCTATGGCAGAGTGTCATGCACATACAGGATCATTGCAAATGACCCTGGTTGTTGGGCATAGTCTGGGGTGACTCTCAGACTCACCCCAACAGCACAGACCTCCTCTTAGTCAGACACAAGGCCATAGTCACACTGTGACACACCAGCCCACACACAACAGCTAAACTTGGCCTGTCAGGCCCTCGCCACACACCCCAGCAGTACCCAGGTATGCACAGACAGGCTTTCACACAAATGCAGCCCATTTCTCCAGATCCTGTTTGGGGAGGGGGGTAAGTTATGCACTTATAAGTTATGCACTTATAAGGTGTTTTCTGTGTAACCATTTTATAAAGTGCTTGTGTAATTTATGTGGAAAAATAATAAAACCCTCCGGATCAGGCCTTGGGGCTGTCTGCTCCTTGCCGAGCCCAGCCTTTACAGCTACTTGGGTTTGATGCAAGATGGACCTTCAGAACCCGGATGTGGGGGATTTATGGATGGGCAAGATGAGCAGGCTCTGTAGAGAGAGGAAAAAGGAACCCAAAGGGAGAAGGTGAAGCTGAGGTGGCCAGGCCATGCTGGAATTGCCTGAGTTTGAGACTACGGGTGTCTTTAGGAGTTGAGAGCTGTGTGTTTTGTGATAGCTTGGGCAACCAGGATGTTCTGTTTAGTGAATGTTTGTAATGAGATTGAAGGTGTGATTGTTTGAAGTTTTAGTGTAAAAACATGTGTTTCTCCTTAAGTTAAGCTTACAGTAGTAGTGTGTGTGTGTGTGTGTGTGTGTGTGTGACCATGTAAGAATGAGCCATTTGAGGTAATTTTATGATTATCCATATTTTTAATTGTATATGCAAACCTGGTGGAAGTACACATTAGTTTTCCTTTGTGAATCTGGTTTTGTGGTGAGTGTGTGTCTCAGATTGTGTATCATCTCTAATTGTATAGGTGTAATTGTGTGAGAGGGATAACCATGTGTGTCCTGTCTTCACTGTGAGGCAGGTATTCTCGTGCATGGTGGTTTGTAATTGCAGGAAGTGGGGATGGTTGTGGGAAGCTGTCCCTGCAGGTAGGAGCCTGAGTATGTGTGAGTAGTTGCAAGTCAGCACTGATGATGTATCTACCTGAGGTTCTGAGGTGAGTGTGCAGGTACACTGTGGGGTGAGCAACATCTGTTAGGAGTGTGGGCACTCTGTTCCCTTCCCAGTAAGCTGGGACACACCGAGTCAAGCCATTGAGTCAAAATCTTCTCGAGTACTCTACCTGGGCTCTCAGTACTAGCCTGGACCGTCAGGACCTTCCAAGGACCTCGGGGAGCCCTTAGACTACTTGGGCCAGAACAGTGGTTACAACACCCACACACCCTCATCTCTAATTCTTGAACTACTAGACCAACTGCAAAACAACAAGAAGAAACTGATTTGGGCCTGGGGGCAGGGAAGCCGGAGAACTCACTAAGACGGAAATTAAGTAGGAGATGGGGTGTCAGTTCTTTGGAGAAATTTGTAGGTGGGATTAGTGTGGTTGGGGTCTAGACAGTCACACAGAATTGTGTACCCCAACATCACCAAAGCCACTGCTCTGTGGCTGTTGGCACTCACGGCAGGTTGTAATACAGGGACAAAGAATCTAGCAACCCCCCCCAAGGCCTAAAGAAAAATAAAATAGGCTGGGTAGGGTAGGGGTTTGCTCCTTCACTCCCTCATCCAAGGAAGGGCCCCTTGGTTCTGAGCGAAAGGGAAATGAGAGTCCAAGATTCCTGGCAGGCTTTCTTGGCCACAGGTGCTCGGACTGGCTTTAGCAAGCTCTGTATTAGACACGGAAAAGGGCTCAGTGTATTCTCTGGTGAGCAGTCATTCAAAGTCACAACACCCACCCAGTCATTCAAAGTCACAACACACACCTAGCAAAATCCAGAAGCGACCTCCCAGAGCCGTGAAAGTTTCTAACCTTGACAAGACTGGCTGCCCTTAAATTCTCTGTGGGGCTGCAGCTGTAGGTACCTTTATCTCTTCCCGGGTTTTTTCCATCCCCTCCATTTGTATCTTTGAAACGTAGAAAAGTCCTCTGCCCACGACATATCCTGACAACGTGAGTCTTTACAGACTGGAGGACCCCATATTTCCTCTCCAGGCTGTCCAACTGAGGAACTCAGAGGTCCCAGAGCCCAAACATAAAAGTCCCCAAATGGCTCCAAAGCCACTCTGACCTTTTGAGGAGACAGAAAGTAAAGTTGGGCACCCATGCCTGATACTTCCTCCGCCTTCATAGCTTTGTCCTGGCACTCAGAATTGGGCCAGCAGACGCAAACCTAAACCCGCTGCTCTCCGATGCTGCTAAGTTCGTCTGGGACTAGAGCATAGTTTATCCGGGGGTTCATCCCTAGCGCTGTGGCGGGTGCAGGAAGTCCAATGAGCTATCCACACCGCCTGCCTGCTCCCGGCCTCTGGATTTCGCCCTCTCCAGGGTCTACTTGGGAATTCCCAAGCCCAGGGCGAGGCCTCCCAAGGGTATCAGACTCCAGGAAGTTTTGGGATCCTTGACGCTGAGGTACTTTTCCCTCTCCGCCGGGAATTCGTTGGGCCCGAATCTCAGCGAATCCCGCGTGCACCGAGCGCTCCCGGAACGCTGCAACCACTTAGGAAGGCGGTGACCTGGCCAGGCCTGCGCCGAGCTGCAGCTCCCTCCCCTCGGCAGTGGGTCTGAAGCCTGGAAGGAGGGACTGTGAGGGTCAAGGCCAAATGCTCCAAGAAAAATAAACTCGAAACTCACTCTTTTCAATCACATCTGCCAGAAACTCTGTTTTCAGATTAAAAAAAAAAAAACAGAAATGTGGGGAAATCATCTAAATAACCTGTGTGGCGAGGCGTTGAGAGAGGAAACAGCAGTAACAAACCTGTCTGGGCAGAAAGGTCTATCTCCTTCGGAGGCTTGAGTGAGCCTGTGGCAACGTCCAAGTCCCCAGCGTGGAGCCCTGGGCAGCGGCTTAGACTTCGTGCAGTCTGTGGCCCCAGGAATCCAGAAGGAGGACCAGAGAGTCCCCAAGTTGTGTGGTGGGCGACACACAGAAAATCTGGCTCAACCTGCTAACTATAATAGAGGCTTTGTGTGGCCAGATCTGTGCTTGGGGGCTGTGCAGTCACTCTCCAGTGGATGAATGTCGGGTGTTCTCCGTGAGGTTTTGGGTCTGAAGGGTGCCCCGCCTTAGATAACTGTCCCTTTGTGGCCTGTGCGCTACAGTGTAGGTTGGTGCTTCTCAACCTTCCTAATGCTGTGACCCTTTGACACAGTTCCCCATGTTGTGGGGACCCCCAGCTATAAAATTATTTTTGTCTCTACTTTACAACTGTAATTTTGCTACTGTTATGAACGTAAATCTGTGTGTTTCCTGATGGTCTTAGGTGATTCCATGGACAAGGTAGTTCAGTCCCCAAAGGGATCATGAGTCCATGCAGGTTGAGAGCCACTGGTATAGGTAGTAGGCTTCTGGGACATTTAAGCAGGTGCCTGCCACTAATCTAAGGCAGTTGGGGCTCTGCAGCTATGCTGTGACGTGCTGGAAGGTAGCTACCCCTTTTCCTTAGGGCCCCTGACCTCAGACCCTGGTTTCTCCCACCCTGGAGCCTCCCTGACTCCTACTTCAGTGTACTTCACAAAGGGTTCCCTCCCTCCCAGCTGCTCCTACCTTTCCAGCTTGGTCAAGAGTGGCTTTGCTTCTAGCCTGTTTGTCTCACAAGAAGCAAGCCCCCAGGTACTCACACACCAGTGCTTTCCTCTGGGTTCCTGGCCGTGGGGATTCTGATGGAACAGGCTGAGGGCAGGCTGGAGCCAGGACGGGTTTTCCAGTTAGCCCAGAGAAAACCTGATGTGACCTGGACGAGTGGTGTAGGATGGGGGATGGGGGAGTCAGGTAAGCATAGAGACCTAGAGGTACCCCACTTGTGCTGGGGAATGAGTATAAATGTCCTCACCTCCCTGCTCCCAACCTGTACTCCTCCTGTATACAGCCTACAAGAGACTGGGCGTGTAATGTTGTTCAAGAGGGGCCGCGGGTGTGCGGAGCCAGGCACACACAGAGAGCACACTTCAACTGCTGGGGCTTGTGGTTACCCTCTCACAAGCTGATGCCTGCCACACTGCCTGGCTAGTTCCACTGACTCTCTAGGTCTTCTCCCTATTCCCCAAGGCCAGAGGGAGGAGGGCCCAATTCTGCAGGAGGGCCTGGGGGGTGGGGACTTCCTCCAACCCAGGTTTCAACTTTCCTTCTGCAGCTCCAGCATGATAGAAACCCCCGAGGTCAGTCCCGTGGCTGGGCTTAGGATGGCAGGCTGCCCTGAATTCTGGTAGAAGACCCCAGCAAAGCCCAGACCTTTCAGTGCCCACTACTACCTCCTGTGAATTCCTGAAGCCCGAGATCCAGCTCCTGTATGAGAAGGTGGGAGGACTTAGAGATAGGTGCAGGTGCAAAGTCCCAGCCGTAGTGAGCCTCAGAAAGGAAGGCTGTCCTGGGAGCTGCAGCTCTGTTTGTTTGTTTGTTTTCCAACCCTGGTATCTCAGACCCCACATTTCTTCCTGTACCTAGGGGGGAAGGAATCTTGTGATCCAAAGGTGGCCTCTGGCTTTTTAAAAGGGAACCGGACTTGTGCTTAAACTCGGAAACTCGGGACAAATGGGTTCCAGGCGCCCTCTAGGGGTCACATGAGGAGAGTCGCTTTGAATTGCTGAGTGAGTAGTCAGAGGGCTGGATCAGGCACAAAAAGATAAAAATAGTACTAGAAATAAGTATTACGGAGCGCTTGCAGTGTTCCGAGCACTGATCTAGAATATAAAAATGCTATTTTTTCCTAAACACCATCGTATGAAACAGATATTATTATTTTCTTTTACATACACCCGGAGAAGTTAAACAAGTGCCTGAGAGCACTTGGTTGGTAGGCAAGGACACCAGCATTCAGAGTTCATCTAACCTGGAGCTAGGGTGTTTGGGTGGGATGGCCAAGTGCAGGGGTACATTTGGAGGATTGGGGTGAGCTAGCCCTGGGTCAGGGTTTGCTATTTTGGAAGGACCACGGACTAGAGAAGTGAGCTGGGCATTTACCCTCTAGAGATTTGGGAAGCTCCCCTCCAGCCTTATCCAGTCTGCTGTACACACACACACACACACACACTCTCACACCACTCACATACACAGACAGCACACAATATACAAATACACATACATACATCATATCCATACATACACACACATACAGGCACACATGTATACATACATAGCACACATGCTCATACACACATACATACATAACAAACTGACACACAGCACAAACAGACCCACAGACCCACAGCACACACATATACAGATTCACATACATAGACACACACACACATAGACACATACACACACCTT